CATGACATTTCGATCTGGTCAACATTTACAATAGTAAAATCTCATAATAATATTTGAAATGAATTTCTTGCTCATTGCTAAAGAAAATATAACAATACTGATCATATGTTCGATTTTGTAATATTGCTGCGGATAATGAATGAAGATTCATCCTTAACCTCTTGGTATTCATAAATTCATGAGCGATAATTAAAAGATCATTTTATAGATTAATTAATTACTATATTTGATCACCGTTTAGATAATTACAGATAGAATTGTCAAAATGAATTGGTATTAGCAATTAATGCGATGATTACTGTAAGAATGTTAGCTATTTGTAATTCAACAAGACATGATTAAATTGATGATGTGGCGATGAAATGACTTAAAATAGGAAGAAAATGGATTGATTTCATTTCGAAAAGAGTGTGAGTGTACATATTCTTGTGGTATTCATCCAATTAAGATATTCACAACCCCAGATAATGTAATATGACGAATAACTAATCAATATTTTGTCTTTTTAATATCATGTAGAATATTTTTGAATTATTAAAATTAACTTTTTCATTATCGGTTTTCGAAATATGGTTTCCATTTCGTATATGTGATCGAATATGAAATTCATATGTACCTTCAATACAATTTGTATCACTTGATGGAATAATACTTAATATTGCTTGAAACTTCTATTAAACAAAAAATTAATGAATTAAAAAACGAAAAAAGAATATTTAATTTACCAGTAATAAAAACTTAATATGATGGTTGTTTATCTCAATTTTAATAGTAAACATTGCAACATCAATCATTTGTTATTCTTTTATTTCTAATCTATAAATTTGTCTATCATTTATGACTATAAATCGGTTATCTTCCTTGGCATGTTTTTTCCTTATAACTTGACAATTTTCTTTACTTAATGTACAACTTAATGTTGATAATTAACCTTTTAATGATTTATATGTTTCACATTCAAATACTCATTGTTTTTCAATAATAGTTATAGTTTCATCTAATGGACGAATAAATTCATAAGGTAATTCTTCATTAGTTACTTTTTCGAATATTGTTTTTTCTTATCGACAAATGCAATAATAAATAACTGCATCATCTAATTCAAGACTA